ACAAAATTCTACAATCATTCACTGTAGAAACTCTCAAGAAACATGTAATAAAAGGCAACCTCGGGGCGCCTGGGTGGCGCAGTCGGTTGGGCGTCCGACTTCAGCCAGGTCACGATCTCGCGGTCCGGGAGTTCGAGCCCCGCATCAGGCTCTGGGCTGATGGCTCAGAGCCTGGAGCCTGTTTCCGATTCTGTGTCTCCCTCTCTCTCTGCCCCTCCCCCATTCGTGCTCTGTCTCTCTCTGTCCCAAAAATAAATAAACGTTGAAAAAAAAAAAATTAAAAAAAAAAAAATAAAAGGCAACCTCTTCGCCAGGTAAAGGGCATCTGCAGAAAGCCCAGAGCTGACCAGGTACTGTTGAGAAGGATCATGCTGTACTCTGAGACCGGGGACATGGTGAGATGCCTCTGGTCCACAGCCCCTCTCCTGTCCGACATCCACTGAGGGCTCCAGCCGGTGCAGGGAAGCCAGAGAAGGAAGTGAAAGGCACATCGATTGGGTGAGAATGAGTAGAGTGTCTTTATTGTAGACGGTGTGCCCTTGTGTGCAGAAAATCATGAGGGATCTTTAAGAATACTAGGAATCATAAACAAGGTTGGTAAGATTGTAGGATACAAGATCCATACGTAAAAGTCAGTTGTAATTCTGCATATAAAAAGTCCAAAATTGAAGTTAATTGGTCAGTCCTGTCAAAGTATTCTGCACTTTGTATTCTCTTCCACTAATCAAAATACTGTGTTCCTGGAGATGCCTGGCTGGCTTAGTTGGTGGAGCATGTGACTCATGATCTCACGGTCATGAGTTTGACCCCACGTTGGGTATAGAGATTACTTAAAAATTTCAAAAATACCATCTTTTTTAAGTTTTTTTTTTTTAATTTTTTTTAAACATTTATTTATTTTTGAGACAGAGAGAGACAGAGCATGAACGGGGAAGGGGCAGAGAGAGAGGGAGACACAGAATCGGAAGCAGGCTCCAGGCTCTGAGCCATCAGCCCAGAGCCTGACGCGGGCCTCGAACTCACAGACCGTGAGATCGTGACCTGAACCGAAGTCGGACGCTCAACCGACTGAGCCACCCAGGCGCCCCTTAATGTTTATTTTTGAGAGAGACAGAGCGTGAACGGAGGAGGGGCAGAGAGAGGGAGACACAGGATCTGAAACAGGCTCCAGTCTCCCAGCTGTCAGCACAGAGCCCGACGCGGGGCTCGAACTCATGGACCGCAAGATCATGACCCGAGCCAAAGTCGGATGCTCAACCGACTCAGCCACCCAGGCGCCCCCAAAATACCATCTTCTTACTCTTGCTTTACCGTAAATTTTGAAATCAGTGGGAGCCGTCTGACTTTGTTCTTAATTTACCCAAATAATCTTGGCTGTTCTAGGTCCTTTGCGTTTTTACATTAATCGTAAGATCCATTTGTCAAATTCTACCAAAAAATCCTGCTAAGATTTTGATAGCAGTTACATTGCATCTGCAAATCAGTTTGGGGGAGAACTGATATCTTAAGAGTTTTGGGTCTCGGGATCCGTTGATGACGTCTCCTTGCTTCTCGCATCTCTGATTTACCCAAGGGATCTTTTGCGGTTTTCAGCGTACAGGTCACATTTCTACTGATACATTCCTGCCTCAGTAATTATGTTTGATGGTGGGATTTTCTTCATTTAATTTTTAGGTTGGTGACGGTTTGCATAGCGTATCTTTTCCCATTTTAAAATGTTCAGCCTATTTGTGTCTGAATGCGAAGTGTGCCTGTTGCAGACAGTATGAGATGTTTTCCTTCTTGCCTGGTTTCATTCTTAAAATCCCTGCCTCTTGACTGGACTGCTTGGTCCACTGATAGTTAACATAGTTATTAGTATGTTTGCATATATGTCTGCCATTTTGTTATTATTTTATGTATGTCTTGGGATTTGTTATCTGTATCTCCTTAACTGCCTTTTTCGCATTAAATATTTTTAGTGTATGATTTTGCTATGGGCTGGATCGTTTACCCTCAAAATTCACATTAAAGCCCTAACCCCCTGCCACATGACTGTATTTGGAGACTGAGCCTCTAAGAGGTAAATGAGGTCCTTGGGTGGGACCCCAGTCTGATATGGTTGGTGTCTTTATAAGAAGAGACACCAGAAAAAGGGGGAAAAAGCACGTTGTATTTATGTCAACAAAACCGTAAAACAGCAACAAAGAAAGGAGACACCGGGGAGCTCACTGGCTCCCTGCCCCAGAGGTCGGTGAGGGCACACAGAGAAGGTGCCAGCGGGGAACCGGGGACAGGCCCTCCTGGACGCCAGCCAGCCTCCAGGACCGTGTCCGCTGGTAAAGCCCGGCCCCGGCCTGGGGTGCTGTGTCAGGGTGGCCGAGCCCACTGAATCGACACACGTTCGATTCTGCGGTTGATATTCCGGCAACGTGTTGTTATTTTCCGTGATTGCCTGGGAATTAGGCCGCGCACCCATCGCAACGTACTTGACGTGAAAGCTGACTTACCTGTGGTGAGATTCAGCAACACTGCCCCCCGACACCCCTCCCCGCTGCGTGCCATCTCGTTGACGTATAACGACGTGTGCTGTGGGGACGCATACGGCATCCACAGGTGTTACCCAGGAACACGGCACGCGAATGATTTTAAACTCCCATTTCTTGAAGGTCTTGAGACAAAGGCACACGTACACACCCTTTACTTGACCACCTCCGGGGCTTCGTTACCGGCCGCTCTCTTTCCCTTCGGCCTGAAGCGCGCTGTCGTCGTAGGGCAGGGCAGCTGGCGGTGGGTTCCCCCGGTCTCTGTCCACGTCTGAGTGGCTTCGCTTCGTGTGCATCTCGGAGGCTCGCTTCCCTGGACGTGGCTCCGTGGGCCACCGCTTCCAGCCCGTGGAGGTTCCTGCTGCCACCCGGTGAGAAGTCGGCCCTGAGTCATGCTGCCCTGGGCCGCCCTGGTTTCCTCCTCGAGCGGGGAGCCCTCCGGCCTTGTCGTCTTAAGACGATCTCGTCTCTCGTGCGGGAGCCGGCTCGGCACCGCCCGCCCCTGGCTGTCCCCAACTCGCCGTGCCACCACCCGGTCCACGCGTGGCTGGCGGCTGCCCCCGTGGGCTGGCCGTGCCGGGGTTCACGTCTGTGTCCGGCTGGTCCCGGCTTCTGCGCGGCCTGGGCCCCTTCCCCACGAGCGCGCTTGACGGAGCGGGGAGCTCCCCCCTGCCCCGGGCACAGCCGCCCTGCTCCCCGCCGCCCGGGACCCCTCCCCCTCAGTGACCTCCCACCAGCACCTGCCTCGGTGGCACGTTGGTGCCTCGTTCAGGAAACAGCGCGGTCTCGTCCGTCTGCCGCCACAGGCCGATGAGGTTTTCCGTATTCTGGATAAGGGAACTTGTCCTTTCTAAACGGCCAATTTCTCGTTTGCCAATGGAAATCTTTCTAACCTCATTGAACGGCATGGCTTTCTGGAACAGGAGCTACGGGCCTTGACTTGCTGCCCGTCTTGTCGGTCGGGGAGCCTCGGTCTGAGCGCCCGGTCCCAGCGGGGCTGAAGCAGGGGATACGCCCCAGCGCCCGAGTGCTCGGTCGTGCCCTGCTCTGGAGTTCCCGCGTGGCCGGGGTTCCCGCTCAGACCCCGTGTGTCACAAGGTTCCCACCTGCCACGTGCGGGGCGTCAACCCCAAACCCCTGTGAGTTCACCTCCAGGGGCCTCGGTTCCCTCATCTCTGTTGATAACCGTCATCGCCACGAGTCCCGCAAAGAGTAACTAAGACTCCCTCTCCGTGGGCTGTAGCGTGTTGAGCACGTAACCTGCCATTACCGTTTTGTTGCGCCGGGGTTAAAATGTCCCGGGACTTGTGTGATGAGATGTGTGGCCAGCCCACCAGGAGACAAGGTTTTCCTCACAGCCCCGGCAGCCGGAGGCGGGCACGCCCCACAGGGGCCCTCGGGCAGAGGGAGCAGGGAGGCTGGTCTTCATGGGAGGGAGTGGTGGGCAGTGAGGACAGCTTGGGACTGGCTACTTGGGATCATTTCAGCAGTTTTGGGGATAGGGGTAGGGCAGAGCGGGGAGGTGATGGGGAGCACCTCTGGGCACTCAGATTTCATGTCACAGGCCAGCTCACAGACGAATCGTTACTCTTTGGAAGTCAGCTAGCCCTGGGAGGGGTGGTCTTCCCAGAATAAGCAAGGCCCCGTGGTGTCAAACCATCATAAAACACAGGAGATAAGTAACGAGTCATTTTGCGTCTCTGGTCTCAGCCATTGTGCTGCGGCATGGCCGGTGGGCAGAGACACGAGGTCCCTGTTGGCCACTGGGTGCCGTGCGGCCCTGGGAAAGGCGCTGCCCCTCTCTGATCCGGGTTCTTCAATGTGAAAGGAAACACGGGGAGCCTAAATGCTGTCTTCCCTGCTCTCCCTGCCATTCTTCTGTTAAAATTCTCCAAGATTTGGATGCAAAGGAATTCGGGTATTAAACAGTAGTAGTCTTCAGATTTGCTCTCTGCTGTGACTAATGCGTGCCAGGGGCTGTTTGCGTCTTTCAAAGAAGCTTCTTATTAGCACGGAGGATGTCAGCAGAAATTCGGGAGCCTGGCGGTGTGGGCGGAGACCAGAGCCAGTGCTGGGGCTAAGGGACTCAGAGCCAGAAGCTGGTGAAAGTGCCTTTCCCTGCCAGTGGTTCTGAGCGACAGGAGCAGGGACAGAGTAGGACAGAGAGCAGGTCTCTGCACATGTCTTGAGCCGTCTGCATCCCGGGTGCCCTCCCCAGCCCAGCCTGCGGCCCAGAGCTCGGTGTCGGGCGGAAGCTCTGCGGGGCTGGCGGTCCAGTCCGGGTGTGCCCTGGGCAGCTGCCGGGCACGGGGGCCACAGCACTGGATCCCAGGAGTTCCGTTCCAGTCCTGTGGGTGCGTCCGCCCGGTCGGGAAGGGTGTGGGTGCGGGAGGTCGGGGACGTGGCAGGGGGCGGCCGAGGGCAGAGGGACGGGCCTCTGTGTTTGTCTTCACCTTTTGCTCCTGTCCACCGCAGGCAGCGTCGCCCGCCACGGCCCTCAGCCCCTCGGCCCGACGCCAAGTCACAGGGAGCTGCCCCAGGCCCTCAGGTAGTGTCCCCGCCCCAGGTGTCCACCACCTGACTCACTGTAGTTCATGCCGCTGACCTTTGTGTACTGCTTCTTAAACCCCTCTCTGCGTGTGTTCCGAGCAGGGTTATGTCGTGTAGACCGCTTCATGCTTTGCTTTTTAAAACCGAAGAACTGGAAAGCTCCGAGGGGCATGGTCGATGCGGTGGGGTGGGGGGGAGGGGGGCGGGGGGGCCGGGGAGGCCCTGTCGCTGAGGATTCTGTGTCTGTCGGGTTTACTCCTAGGGTCCCACCGCTGCCTGTCCCCGGCAAGGGGCTGTCCCAGGTGCCCGCGCCCCAGGCCCCAGGCCGAGCAGGAAGAGGGGGCTCGCCCAGCCTGGGGGGCTCCCAGGCAGCGGCCCCCAGGCAGCCCATCAGCATCTCCGCACTGCTGCAGAGACAGCACGCAGGCAAGTGTGCCCTGCTCCGAGGGCAGCTGCTTCTCCCGCACGCGCGCGTGTGTGGCAGAAGCAGACGCGACGCGTTGCGCGTTCCTGATGGTCGTGCCGCGGCGCTTTGGTGAGTGGCTGAGACGTGAGTGGCGGTCCCGGGCGTGTCCACCTTGGGTCACGGCTGTCCATGCTCCCGCAGGGTCTGCTGGCCTCGAGGGAGTCCCACACGGAAGGTGAACGAGCTCCCGTCCCCGGCCTGGCCCTCCGGGCCCCCTCGGCTCTGGCGTGTGTGCGTTAGGCAGTAAACATGCTCGTGCGCGCGTCGGCGTGGAATGAAGTAACGCCGTTGAATAAAGCATTTTTCTGATGACCTGGGATGGCGTCGTGTGATGTGTTTAGAACTTCTGGGGCACATCGGTGGCTCGGTCGGTTGAGCGTCCGGCCTCAGCTCGGGTCGTGATCTCACAGTCCGGGTTCGGGCCCCGCGTCGGGTTCTGTGCTGACCGCTCAGAGCCTGGAGCCTGCTTCGCATTCTGTGTCTCCCTCTCTCTCTGCCCCTCCCCCGCTCACGCTCTGTCTCTCTCTCTCTCAAAAATAAATAAAACTTAATAATAAAAAAAAATTGTTTAATAATTTTCACTGAAAAGGCAAAACTAAATGAGATATCTGAATAATAGTGCCATCCCTGCCGCGAACAAAGACGGCAGCCGTGCCCCGCACACGCGGCCTGGGGGGCAGCGCCTGGCGCCTCCAGTGTGCGGCCATCTGCCCCACGGGGCTCTATCACGCGGGACAGCAGTGCGGAGCGGCCCCCTCACGGCCACCGGAGGCCTGGTCACCTGTCTGAGGGGACACCACCCAGGATGTGCTGTGGGGAGGGGGCGAGGGGGGGCTGGCACTCGGCCCCCAGGGAAGGTCCTTGAGCGCCAGTGGTAGTAAGGTGCCCAGAAACCCGCGTATTTGCAAGTGCAGACCGGGCCTCGGGCCCATCTCTGGACTGAGCTCTTACCTCTACAGGTGGGACAAACCTCTTCGATGCACTTCAGGGCTTCCGTGCAGGGGTGGGTGTGACACTGTGAGAGCAGGCCTCTCAGGTGGCAGCACCGGCCCCGCTTTTATAATGTATTCTGTTCAAATGTGCCCGTGAAGGCTATTTGCATGTTATTCCCAAATCCCTCGACACGGTGCGCCCAGTAGGGTTGCGTGTTATTCCCAACCCCCTCGACACGGTGC